GGGGGGGGGAGGGGGGATTCTCCCCTCCTGCACTTACTTCACTTACTCTCAGACATTATGGATTGCAGCATGCATTATGATTTTATGCTTCTCTAAGAAAGAAAGATGCTGCCATCAAGCCTTTATCATTTAGAAGCTTGTAAAAAAATTCTATATATTGAAAAAGAATTGGCTTGTTTAGGCATGGGTTTTATCATAGACCACTCTTGTGAACACACAGAAAGGAAATATAAGCAAAATGAAGTGTTTTAGATACAGTGTCCCTAAAGCTTCCACACAGGGTCTGGCTCTTTTGAATCATGTTTCAACTTGGGGTCATAGGTGTCTGGTTTTCCACAAAACTTTGACGTCTGTGCTATCAAGAATTCTCTGGAAGAGGGCCCATCAGGGGGGAAATAAGGGAGACATCTGTAATACTTTCAACAATAAAGATAAATTAAAAAAAAAAAAAAAAAAAGAGTTCTCTGGGATTCCCTCCAAGCTGCTAAAAGTAAAAATATCAAGGTGGGACCTGTATCTATCTTTTATTTCCTTCTTAGCACTGATGTAAATAAAACAATAAGCATCATAATTAAAATTATTGCCCAGCCGGCATGGCTCAGTGGTTGAGCATCGCAGTTTGATTTCCTGTCAGGGCACATGCCAGGATTGCGGGCTCGATCCCCAGCTGGGGGTGTGCAGGAGGCAGCTGATCAATGACTCTCTCATCATTGATGTTTCTCTCTCCCTCCCTCTCCCTCTCCCTCCCCCTTCCTCTCCGAAATCAATAAAAATATATTTTAAAAATAAATAAAATTAATCTTTTCCTCTAGAGTAGAGGTTGGCCACCTATGGCTCACAGGCTGGCCACCTCCTTTTAAAAATAGCTTTATTGGAGCACAGCCACACCCATTCACTTATGTATTGTCCATTACTACTCCTGACATGGCAGAGCTGAATTAGCTACAAAGATCATGTGGCCCAATAAAACCTAAAATATTTATCATTTAGCCCCCAAAAGCTTCCCAACCCCAAAGGGAGCAAGTCCCATGTCTCTCATCCTCAATCCCCAGTACCTCATACATATTGTTGAAAGAAAGAAGGGACCAAGAAGCCCACTATAAGCCCTCATTTACTGGCAGGCTCTTTTTGTCAGAGTAAGACTAGACCAGGGCTGGGTCAGCTCCTTTCTGATGTCCCCAGTCTAAGGGGTCCCAAAGATGAAAACCTTGAAGGAGATGCACCAGGACTCAGATGTGTCAAGTTAAAGGTCAGTCCAAGGAGACCTTTCCTCACCCTTTCTGCTGTTTCAGAAGAGAGTAGGGGTTTGATTAGGACCCTTTACCACCTTTCAGGGGTATACTGCTTTGGCCAATTCCCAGGCAAGGATGTGACCACTTTCAGAGGGAAAAAGGGCCCTCTGCTTCTCTCTCCTTCACAATCATGAGCTGGGCTAGACCCTGGAGAGCAGCCACGTGGGAGTGAGACCATGTAGGAGTGTGGTTCAGGAGCTCCCCCCTAGCAAGAGGACGGGATGGTGACGACTGAGGCCCCACACATGCCACTTCCTGGTTAAACTAAACTTTGGGGGTCAGGGAGGCATCAGCTTGTGTGGGGGCATAGATTTCACATTCACATGTCTGGAGGCTGCCAGGCTGTGTGTGTGCAAATGTACAGGAAGGAGACAGGCTGAGAATTTGCCGGGCCCCAGGGATGGGATGCAGATTTTTGCCCCTAATGCCATGAGTTGCTGGGGGTCCTCTGCTCATAAAATATTACACATACTTCTCCTTTTAATCTGTTACCTATCAGTCCCAGGCCCAGAAAAGAAAACATTTCCTTTCTCCTCCCTCCCAAGTACAAAGGTCCTGATCTCAGCGCGGAGATCTTTTTTTTTTTTAATTTATCTTTATTGTTGAAAGTGTTACAGATGTCCCCTTTTTCCGCCCCGTTGATCGCCTCCACCCCACATCCACCCCACCCCCAGGTCTTCCCCAGACCAATTTCTGTGTCCATAGGTTATGCATATAAGCATGTAAGTTCTTTGGTTAATCTCTCCCCACTCACTCCCCCACCCCCGCCTTCCCTCTGAGATTCCCTCAGTCTGTTTCAGAGCTGAGATCTTAAAGCTTGAAAACAGAGTCAGATTCCAGCAATCCCAAGTCCCGGAGGGCCTCCAGCAGCTGCTCCCGTGCAGTTCCAATAAAGGTATTCTCCAGGAAGGCAGGCAGGCCTCCCACACCATCCCGCAGCGTATACAGGGGCACCCGCACCAGGCCCAGCACCTGTGAAAGGAGGACAGGAGACGCTGGGAAGCCAGGTAGTTCATCCCAGCCAGTCTTTCTAGAGCACACGCCTCACCCCTATCAGTCGGGCAGAACCAGGTCTGAGGACTCATATCTCAGTAAAGCTCTCTGCGGACAAGTGACCCAAGTCATGCTATCCAGCTCCACAAAGGCGAATCCTTCCCACACCACTAACCCTTTAGTGGCTGCTGCCTCCAGGATGCCTGCTTGGCCCTACATCAGTAGTTCTCAAAACGTGGTACTCAGACCAGCCCCATCAGCACCATTTAGGAACTTCTGAAAAATACAGATTCTCAGGTCTTCCCCTCCCTCCCCCACTGAACCAGCAGTTCTGGGAGTGGGGCCAGTAAGCACTGTTTTAATAGGCCTCTCGGATGATTCTGATAACTGCCAAAGTTTGAGAACCGTCTCCATGCACCATCTGTCCCTCTGCTCCCCTAGCCTAAGTGCCAAGGTTTCCCCCAAAAGTATCAGGCCACATCTTGTATCCAAGAAAAGCCTGGCCATTATAAACTGGGAGCGGAAGAGGGGCTCGTCTGGGTGTGTTTTAGAAAGTCAGCTGCAGAGGCCCGTGAAGGGGGCAGAGGGAGAGACCTTCACAGGGGCCCAGTGGGCTGTGGCTGGTCACCCCGGTGAAAGGTGACCAGGCTTCGGGTGCACCGGCCACCTGAGGGAGAGGCCCCCGGCGGCGGGGGGAGGGCACGGGGCGCGGGTTCCGGGCGGGCCCCACCTCCAGCCCGTGGTCCGGGGCGTGCGGGGCGCCTCTCTCCACCGCAGTCAGCTGCTCCAGGGTCAGAGGCTTCGCATAGAAATGGGCCACGACCTGCGGGCTGGAGGACGCGTGCGAGCTGCGGTAGTCGGCGCGCTCCACGCGGAAGGCGGCCGCGGCCTCGCCCAGCTCCTCGCTCAGCTCGCGGTTCAGCCCATCCTCCAGGCTGCCATCCCGCAAATTCACGAAACCGCCGGGGAAGCCCAAACGTCCGTCAAAGCGCATCTGCATCTGCGGGAGAGGGAAGCGGGGAATGACTGCCCGGGCGCCGGGGGCCTGCCCGGCAGGGAGGTGGCGGGGCCGGGCGGCGGCCCCCCCTCACCAGGACAGCGTAACGCAGCGGGATGCGGCGGAAGAGCAGCCCGGGGTCGGGCGCGTAGAGCAGAGCGTGGCACGCGTGCCGCCAGTTGGGCCCCAGCGCCAGCGCCTCCTCCAGCTCCAGCCTGCGGACCCCGGCCATGGCCCAACGCTCTCTCCGCACCGGTCCCGAAGGCCCACGGGAGCGGGCTCAACCGCGGCCAATCCAGGCCTGGGCGGGGCTGCCAGGACCAATCGCTGCAGGGCTCAGGGGCGGTGACTGCTGGATGGCAGCCAATCAGGGCAGGGCTTGGGTGAAATTCTTGGCAGTGGGACACGGGGGCTGAAACACCTGCCCCGGATTGGGCCCGGGGCGGGGGGCGGGTGAGTTGTGTTTACCTGCGGGCCGGGCGCCCGTAGTTCTTCCCGAGGGGCGTGGAGGGCGGGACGCACGTGAGGGCTCGTAGCCCGCGCGGGATTTCATTCGGGGCGAGTCCCGGGAGCCCGAGGAGCGCGGGGAGCGTTCGGGGAACCGCGCCTGGTGTGGTGGACGGTGCAGCGAGCGCGCGGGCTGCGGGGGGTGAGACGGGAGCGGG